AAAAAAAAAAAAAAAAAAGAAAATTAAAAAAAAAAAAAAAAAAAAGATCTCTAGACATCAAACCTGATTAAGAGGTTCATGATCCACTGTCCTTTGAAATAATTTTGTTTCATTTTTGAAACTTAGTTGAAATAAATGTATTTCAAATAAGTACTACAAAGTTAAAATTGTATTTAGAGATGACACAAGTTTGTGAAAAGTTAAGCAGATGAAAAAGTGAAGAGATTATGGCTGTACTTCTTTCTTTGCCATTGTGAAGTGTGGCAACTTGATCTTTTCAAAGTTTCTAATAGTGGTCCAGACTGGGCATACTAGGATTCAAAAGCCTCTTTGATGTTCAGGTGCTGCCCTGGCCCCTGCAATCTTTTCTGACTCCTGCAGAGAGCACAAACACCTCCAGTACTCAGTGAACTAGAGCCCACAGGGCTTAATCATATGCTTTCCAGAAGTTCAGGCTTACATCAACCTAATGATAGAAGGTTACAGCAGATTTTAGGTAGATTACAGTTGAATTACAAATAGATTACAATTGAGAACACAAACACCTCAAGTGTACCACTCAGTGAACTTCATATGCTTTCCAGAAGTTCAGGCTCAAATCAATCTCTTGATAGAATTTTACAGCAGATTTTAGGTAAATTACAATTGAACATTCAGGGTATCCTGTAATCACATGGGTGTGCCACACAGGGAAATTGAGTAAAGTTTTCTCTACCTGGAAAATATGTTGTAAAGCAATGATCCCAGCTCTCCACAGAGGCGCCACGTTCTCCTGTCTAGCCGAGTTCTCTTTGCCATCCTAGTGCCTACCTGCCACATATAAGTTGATAAGCTCTGCTACACTGAATGTAGGAAATATTTTTTTTCTTTAATTCAGTTCATCCCTGATTGGAATGATGCCGAAAAAAGTTTTCTTGGGAACAAAGCGGGGGAGGTGAAGCCCCCAAATCTAAAAACATGTAATTGCATGAGAATGATGACTTTGCATACCTTTTATGTAGGCCCTTCTTCTTTTTTAAATTTTATCTGACTAAAATGAGCCTCAGCCTTTGCCCACTTCTGATTCTACATTTTCAACTAGGTATTTCTCTCCAAGTTGTTCCTCATAACCACCCAACCCACTCAAGTCTTTCTCTAGTCTTTGTCCCACATTGTGAAAAGGATGTTTTTCTACTTGCGTCAAGATTCTTATTCTAAGCTTCATATTTTCCATTCAACAACTATTTAGACTGTCCCTACTGTGTGCCAGGCCCTTTGGCAGGTGCTGTGGATACAGTAGAGCACAAAGAAGACATGGGTCATACCTTCACACAGCTTATAGTTGACTCACGATGCATTTAGATCAAATAAAACACAAAGAAATGTAAAATTACAACTGTTATACATGCCCTGAAGGAAGAATTTAGAGTATAATCAATGTGTGTAACAGACATGACCCAGTATAGATACTCACATCTGTTCAGAATTAGGTCATTTTTAAAACTTTTTTTTAAAATTTTTTTTCTTTTCCTTCAGCACCAGTTTTTCCCAAGGATTAGGTCATTAACACTTCCCATGTATTCTCTGGTTTACCCATTCCTGTGCTTCCCCATTTTCCTTCTTCCTTCTTCAGAGGGAGCAGTGGTAGTCAGAATTATACCCAATGAAAATAGAATTACAAGAATACTCCTAAATAGATTCAAACATTAACAGGCAAAAATTAAATGCCTACCTTCAAGTTTCTGATTAGGTGTGGAGTTGCAAGAGCTCTGGAATAGATGTTGGTGCTAAACTGTTCTACCAAATTACTGATACTGGAGAAAATGTTGAAGAGTTGCTTTCCGGAATCACTCAAGGTACCATAAAATTAATAATTTTTAAAATTTCTTTATTGTCTTAATCTGTAAAATAATGTGGCTATTTCCCTTTTTTTCTGATGACAAGACTCTCTAGGAGCACTTGTTAAACATACAATTTTCCAGCTCCCTCCTACTAGAGACGAATTGAACAGACTGGGATAAGGCCCAAGGAATTACAGGGGTTTTTTTCCTTTAAGTCTGGGATCCTTGTGCTGAACGTGCAGGTTTGTTACGTAGGTATACATGTGCCATGGTGGTTTGCTGCAACTATCTACCTGTCATCTAGGTTTTAAGCCACACATTCATTAGCTATTTGTCCTAATGCTGTCCCTCCCATGTCCCCCCACAGGAAACTATACTTTTCATAGTCACCTAGATGACTCCTAAGGAAATTTAGATAATTTCTAGATTATTTCTAAATAAATCTGAGTTCTAAAATATTTTAAATAGCAGAAGGGTATGGACTAGATGGCATTGCGCTTAAGAACATAATCTAGTTTAAACAATAGAACTGAGGTTTAGATTTTGTTATAAATACAGTGAAATTGCCTTTAAGGGCTGAATTTCTTGAGCAAGGAGACTGCTCTATGTCTGGTTTTCAAATGTGAGTGGCATGCAAATCACCCAGGAAAGACATAACAAATTAGAATTTGTGAAGACAGAGACTTGCATTTTTACTAAAGACCCTCTGTAATCCTTATGTATATTAAAATTTGAAGAAAAGTGATCTAGAAAGAGTCCTCTAATGCACTATACTGTGTTAATTAAATTTGGCCATCTTGCCTTATTGTGCTTAAACTCTGTGTGGTATGGAAATTGTGAATAACAATTTGGAATTATTTGGCTAAAGGAGTTCTAAATGGACAATCTGACCCAAATTTTCCCAAGATCAATGCTGACACTGAAGTGAATTGAATGAAGTGGTAGGCTAGTTTGCTTTAATAACATGCCCAAATAATTATTTTGCCAGAGATAAATAAAAAAGGTTTCAGTGACCTTTACAGGGTAATAAAAGATGTTAGAGAATTTAAAAAAAAAAAATAAAGAAAAATATAATTTTGTTTATTTACACTTTCTCCGTTTTTTGGAGTTTGTGGTAAAGTTCCTTCCTAAGCTCTCATCTCATTCCCCCAGCACATTGACTTCCTTCTAGCAACACCCCCTTAACTCAGCATTCACCCTTTGAATAAATAGCTATTGGAAGAATTTGTTTTCAACCAGTGTCAAATCTTTCAGTGGGTTTTAAATCCTATACAAAGAAGTTACATTTTTTTCTTTCCAAACCTGAATATTGAAAGGGTTTTTCCCTTTTGATTTTCTACAAAAAAAAACTTTTTTTTAGCCGGGCGCGGTGGCTCAAGCCTGTAATCCCAGCACTTTGGGAGGCTGAGGCGGGTGGATCACGAGGTCAAGAGATCGAGACCACCCTGGTCAACATGGTGAAACCCGTCTCTACTAAAACTACAAAAAATTAGCTGGGCATGGTGGCGCGTGCCTGTAGTCCCAGCTACTCAGGAGGCTGAGGCAGGAGAATTGCCTGAACCCAAGAGGCGGAGGTTGCGGTGAGCCGAGATGGCGCCATTGCACTCCAGCCTGGGTAACAAGAGCGAAACTCCGTCTCAAAAAAAAAAAAAAAAAACTTTTTTTTTTTTAATTATCAGGTGTGGTGGTGATTGCCTTAGTCCCAGCTATACAGAAGGCTGAGGTGGGAGAATCACTTGAACCAGAGAGGCCGAGGTTGCAGTGAGCCAAGATGGCGCCACTGCACTCCAGCCTGTATGACGAAGCAAGACTCAGGAGTTCAAGGCTGCAGTGATCTGTGATTGCCCCACAGCACTCCAGCCTGTATAACAGAGTGAGACACTGTTGCAAAAATTAATTAATTATTAATTAATTAAATAAATATAAAAGTAGAGAAAACTTTAAAGAAAGAAAAGAAAAAATGAAAGTCCACAGAACAGAATTCTAACATTATTCTGGTTTGGTTCAGTCACCAAGCATTCAATCAACTTTGTCAGGCTCCATGAGCTTAAAAATGAATGAGACATAGTGATAGCCTTCAGGGAATGCTTATAGAGCCTTGCTCCATCAAATCAAAGTACAGTTTTTTGTTTTCTTTTAATTTGGGTTGGTATAACCCTCTAATGATGTCTAATCGTAATTTAGGGTTGAAGTAGTTGCATTTCACAGGTTATTTTGAAATAGTATATTGGACTTGAAAAGCAGCCAAGCATCAAAATTTTTTTGTAAGTTTTTAAATATGCATGAAACCTAACTGCATATGTCATCCTGATTCATTCAGCAAGTATGTATTGCTGACCTATATGCCAAATACCCATCCTAGTAAGCCTATGAATTTGGTACCTCTCACTGCTATACTATAAAAAACTAGATCTGGAAAGAGTGTTTATAGGGTTTCATAGACTTTTTACCAGTTTTCATGTGCACTGATGAAATAACAATAGAAAAATTAATGTGTGTATCTATTGTGTCTGCATTTATATGTACATGTTTATAATTTCCTCTCATGAACATGATTATACAGTAGAACAAGAAGTAAGGAAGATAATATGTGACTGAAATAGCTAATAGTATGATTGGCTTGTCTCTCTGGGTTCTGTGACTCAGGTTTATGGAGCAGTGATGAACATAAATCGTGGGAATCCCTTTCAAAAAGAAGTGGTGTTGGATTCATGGCCGGATTTCAAAGCTGTTATCACCCGACGACAAAGAGAGGTACAGTTTTGAAAGGTAAAAAATTAAAAATAAGGATTGGAAAGAAAAAATAGGTAATGATATTTTATGCCCATAGTAGCCATATACATTAGCTTACAACACTACATGTTTCACCGTTAACTTCTTTTCTTTTATTTTCTATTTATTTATTTTTTGAGACGGAGTCTCATTCTGTCACCCAAACTGGAGTGCAGTGGTGCTATCTCAGCTCATTGCAACCTCCACTTTCCAGGTTCAAGCAATTCTCCTGCCTCAGCCTCCCAAGTATCTATGATTACAGGCACCCACCACCATGCCTGGCTAATTTTTATATTTTTAGTAGAGAATTTAGTAGAAACAGGGTTTCACCATGTTGGCCAGGCAGAGCTTGAACTCCTGACCTCAGGTGATCCATCTGCCTCAGCCTCCCAAAGTGCTGGGATTACAGGCATGAGCCACTGCACCCAGCCTCACCATTAGTTTCTAATTTGACTGGCTTCTGAGTGTCAGGAATATGAAAAACCTCTAGTCTAAACATGTTCAGTAAAGAGGTTCCTTAGTGTTTCACGATCTCTAGAAGGATGAAGAACAGATGGCTGATTTATAGATACTAGCTTTTTCCCTGAGGGAATGATTCTTTATGACTGATGACTTTGGTCATGTGGGTATTTGGAAGAAGAGTGAAGACAACATCTGCCCTATTCTTCCCCTGAGACCAAGGAGAAGCTCACATGGCCAAAGAGGTGCTGTCCTGACCACATTAAGAAGATTTTGAGAGTTGTAATTTTTGGAAGTAAATCCACTCAGTTATATACCCTTTTTATTTTTATAAATAAACAAAATCCTAGAAAAATGTGAAATGGATGGCTAAAAACCTTCCTAGCCAGATATGGTGGCTTTTTCCTATAGTCTCAGCTACTTGAGAGGCTGAGGCAAGTGGACTGCTTGAGCCCAGGAGTCTGAGGCTATAGTGAGCTATGATTTCACCACTTCACTCCAGCCTTGGCAACAAAGCAAGACCCTGTTGCTAAAAAATAAAAAATAATTTAAAATTTTTTAAAACAAATCAAAACCTTTTCTAATCCAAGAAGAAAGAAGAAAAAACGTGCGGGGGCTCACGCCTGTGATCCCAGAACTTTGGAAGGCCGAGGTGGGAAGATCACAAGGTCAGGAAATGGAGACCATCCTGGCCATCATGATGAAATCCGATCTATGCTAAAAATACAAAAAATACCTGGGTAGGGTGGTGTGCCCCTGTAATCCCAGCTACTTGGGAGGCTGAGGCAGGAGAATCGATTGAACCTGGGAGGCAGAGATTAAAGTGATCTGAGATCACGCAACTGCACTCCAACCTGGCGACAGAGCAAAATTCCGTCTCAAAAAAAAAAAAAAAAAAATCTTTCCTAATCCCAGGAGAAAGAATCACTGCAGCACATTAGCCCTATTCCCACTTAGCCATTGTTTTATAGGTGACTAAATTTGTTAGCCACCTAAAAATTAGCTAGACATGCCCAACTAATATTATCTAATCTACCTAAGATTTGGATTATCCAGATAATATGTTTATGTTTTTATAATTATGTCCTCTGTCCTAGGCTGAGGTAGACAACCTTGATCATTATACTAATGCCTATGCTGTGTTCTACAAGGATGTCAGAGCTTATCAACAGCTATTGGAAGAATGTGATGTTTTTAACTGGGACCAAGTTTTTCAAATACAAGGTGAGGTGAAGTGGAAGACTTACATTATACAGTCATTTTTTCTCCTCTGTAGTATATATCCAGATAGATATAGGTATTTCATATATATGAAAATATACAGATTATGTGTATACACATATATGTATAAATACAAACACATACATTTTATGCATTTATCATTTCTGTATTATAGTGTTATAAGAACACTTACTTGTCACTTCTAATGAGGCATGCATTGCTTTCAGGTTAAAAAGAGATCATTTAAATGGATCCATACTTAGGTGACATATTTTTTCTATTACTGTAGCATGGAAGGATATCAGTGAGAATCAGAGAATATTTTTCCTTATTTGTTTTAATCCTTTTCTATCACACCTTTTAAAATAACTATCATTTAGGTCTTAGCCAATAGGTAGGCCTTTTATTTTTTCTGAATCAGATGATTCTGGAAAGAAATAATCAATTGTTCTGCATAATGTCCTGAAATGATTTTTTTCTCTCTTCGAGTCAAGGTCTTGCTCTGCAACCCATGCTGTGCAGTGGTGTGATCATAGCTCACCACAGCCTTGAACTCCTGGGCTCGAGGGATCCTCTTTCCTCAGCCTCCTGAGTAGCCAGGACTACAGGTGCTACCACCACACAGGGTTATTTTTATTTTTGTAGAGACAGAGTCTTACCCTATTTCCTAGGCTGCTAAAGTGATTTTATACAGAGAGAGCTTATATGAGCTGTGAGGAGATAATTTCATGGTGATCAGGGCTTGTGGCAGAACTTTATGCCAGCAGAAAGGAATATTTAAGGGTTCCTGATAGTTTAGATGAATAGTTTCAGCTTCAGTGTACACTTACTCTTCCAACTTTTCATAATGTTGAGTTGTTGGTATAGGCAATAAAGTTGTTGTTTATGACAGTTCCAGTGAAAGTAGAGAACCTCATATTGGAAATATAAAGGCTAGTAATTTTTTTTTTTTTAACTATAGAGAGCTGAGGCCCTCCAATAAGGAAAAGCTTCTATCCACCTGGAAAATTTGCAAATAATGACTAACACATGGTCATAAGCCAAAGCCTTTAGATGTCATAAAAAATGTATTTGTAAATGCTCAAAAAGACCTTATGCAAGAAGCTCTAAACTATCTCTTACCTTTACAGATTTGTCCCAGTTATGCTGGTTAGAAATGAGACATGATTCTATCACTTCCATAGCCAATTTAGAAAAAAAAATGTTCTGACCATTATTACTTTAACATGGAAATGAATAAAGTTCCTCATTGATGTGAAAAATCATGGCAGTAATTGGATGGATCTTGGTGCTACAGGCCTATTATCACTAAATCACCTTAATTCATCATTATATAGAAAAGAGGTATATAATTTCCAAAGTATTTTTCAGAAGGCTGAGCTGATAGTTGTAAGTTATAGTCATCTAAATCAACCCAGTCATTCTTTCTGAAGGTTTGGTGGGGACAAACGTGAATTAGTATCACCTAACATAGCTGGAGTAGTAAAGGTCCCTCATGTAGCATGTAAGTCAGCCTGGACATTACCCTGGGCTTCTCATGTGGTCTTGACTGTAGACTTCTGTAGTAATAGCTGTAATGTTTTTGGAATACTGAATACCTTCTAGGAAGTCCCTGGTATCTTTACTATTAATTGGAGCACCTAAAAAGTTCATAAATCCTCTCTGATTCCATAACACAATTCTAAAAGCCTACCTACTAGCCATATACATGATCAACATTTGCCACAGTACAGACTCCAGTCACAGATACTAGTTTGGCTACTGGGTAGATCAAGAATTAGGTGGTAGAGCTGCTTCAGGTCTTGGTGTCCAGAGGAATGACAAATCATGCATAGGAATGCCTTTGTCATTTTTAATCCAAGAGCCATTAATGAACAATATTAAATCATGTTTAAGCTACCAAACTACCCAAACTAGCTAAACCACCCTTTGGTTTGCTATATGAAGGGAGGAAGTGAAAAAGTATACAGCTACCCAGACAGGCCAGGCTCTTCTGCTCACTACTAGTTGCACTGATGTGAAAAGGATTATCTATATGTGTACTAACCTGAGAGTCTCAGAAGCCTGCTTATTGGTAACTAGTCTAAGAAATGTCCGGAATTCTGGCTTATCCAGTTAACTACTCTTCTCATAAGAAGGTAGGTAGAAAGAGGCAGAGCAAAATGTGGAAGTTCCTTTCACTTGTGGGAAAGGGGAAAATAATTTGTTAAAAGTTGTAACCTATAAAGAAGACCAAAGGACATGATCAAGAACACCATGACGAGGTAATCAACAAACTCCAAGATTATGAAAACTGCACAGCAAATGCTTGTGTTTTTTTTGTTTTTTTTTTTTTGTTTTTTTTTTTTTTAACAAATAAATTGAAAGAATCAGAGAGGGGGGTAAAGATTGAAGGAAAACATGTAGATTAAAAAATTCAAGACCACACACTTGAGAAGTAGGCACTCTCCTTTTTTCTCATATACTTAGGTGGAATTCAGTGTTATAATATGGGATACTAGCCACAGCATCTATAATCTTCCTAACATTAACTCAAAAGCTCACTTATCTTTTCTGAGGCTTAATTCCCTGAGGGAGGAGTCAAGGCTCAGATACCACACTGCGTTCAATATGCCTTCCCACTCATACATTCTTCAAGAAGCCCAGGGCCACACTGAAGAGCCTTACCAGAGGGGAGGAGGCAAGCCATTAGCCAGGGGAAGAGGGAAAGTCAGTTTGCAGAGGATTCAATCAATCCGTACACAGACTGGAAAGGAAAGAGTGGATGGGGATTTGGAAAGGTGGAGAAAGGAGTCATTCTATAAGCTCTCTAAGAACAAAGACGAGGGAGGGCCAGGCATGGTGGATCATGCCTGTAATCCAAGAGCTTTGGGAGGCCAAGTCAAGAGGATCACTTGAGGCCAGGAGTGTGAGACCAGCCTGGGCACATAGGGAGACCCCATCTCTGCAAAAACAAAACAAAACAAAAAAACTTAAAAATTTGATTGGCCAAGGGGTGGCATGCACTCAGGAGGCAGAGGCGGGGGATCACTTGAGCCCAGTGATAAAAAGTCCCATGGGATATTCCCATGATAAGTTTCTGTAAAGATCGTGATGGTGGTCCCAATGGGCAACATCATGGGAATTTGAAAATCCTAGAAAAATCTGAAAATGACAATAGCTGTAATGATTTACATGTAAATATATAGTGGTTAGGATAATACAAGGTGGCAAACTGCTGGTATTGATGATACCCAGTATAAAAATACTGCAACAAATTTCCACTTTCCTTTTTTAACTAAAATGCCCATATATTAAATTATGTCTTTCTATACACAGGGCTGCAGAGTGAGTTATATGATGTTTCCAAAGCGGTTGCCAACTCAAAGCAGTTGAATGTAAAGCTAACTTCCTTCAAGGCTGTTTGTTTTTCTCCTGTTTCAACTCTGCCAGATGCCAGTTTCCTGTATGTAAACCAAGTTTTTGCATTTGGGGCAGGACTTACTGCTATAGAATTACAGGTAGCAGTAACTGGAGTACTTAGTATCACTACGGAGTATCTAGGCACTTTGGATTTCAGCCATTGAGCATAAATGGGTGTGTGTGTGTGTGTGTGTGTGTGTGTGTGTGTGTGTGTGTGTTTACTCTTCTCTCTCCTGTGCTTGACTGCTCATAATTTCGTTGGAAATCAAATCAGTAACTTTGTCCATAGTTATAAATGAACTCAGGATTTGTATGTTTTCACAGTACCCATGGAAAAATTATTCCTTGGTGTCCTCCTCCCTCAAATAATTCTAAATAATTTATATTGTCTAAGTCCAACAATCCAACAATAATTTATATAGTTATTATTTTTGCTGTTTCAGGGATGGGAGTATATAGCTGACTTACGTTGAGCTCTTATGTGCCAGGGACTAAATGTCTTAATATATTATTCCATTAGTTCTTTCCACAACGTTGTAAAGTAGGACTATCATTACTGCCCCTCCCACCCCACACCTTTTTAAGCAGAGATGAAATAACACACAGGGGTAAATTATAGAGCCAAGAAATCCCAAGTTCAACTCCAGATGCAATCTTTCAAAACAATGATTAGCTTCTATCTGCATTCATTCTTCTTTTGGAGTCCCTGCTCTGTCACTTACTGATTACCTTTCCTAGTCTCAATTTCTTCTGAATTCATTCCATTAAGTGTTTTTAAAATTAATATCATTTTAAATCAACAAATAATAATTGTACACATTTATGGGGTACAATGTGATGTCTTGATAAATGTATATAGTTTAGAATGACTAAACCAAACTAGTTAATATTTTTAAAAGTGTTATAATATTTTCTTGACATGTTGTTTTGCAAGAGACTGAAGAAAGATAGTTTAAAAACACCCACCACAATGAATACTAATTTTCTTCAATCCTATAGTGAATGTTGAAAAAATTGTTGAGCAAAACAGCACTAAGCCTTAAAAAGAATGCACATTTTAAGTCATAGGAAAGCAACTGGATTTTCTTTTATTATATTTTTAATTAAGAAAATTTCAAACACACATAAAAGTTAAAAGGATAGTATAAAGAACCTCCCACCAATATGTGGCTAACCTTATTTAATTTATACAATTGTATATTTTTTCCACTCCCTGGATTGTTTTGATGAAAATGTCCCAGACATTATCCTTAAACATTTTAATATGTAACTCTAAAAAATGAATCTTTAAAAAAAAAACCCATTATACTGATATTACTCCTGTGTCAGAGGTCCCCAAGAACACCCAAGGGTTCTATGGTTCACTGTGTTGACACACAAGACTCAGCAAATATACTCATGGCTATGATTGATTATAATGAAAAGATAAAATGCAAAATCAACAAAGGGAAAAGGTGCACTGGGTAAAGTCCAGCAGAAAACAGGCACTAGCTTCCAAGAGTTTTCTCCCAGTGGAGTCACACAGAATGTGCTCAGTCCCCAAGCAATGACCTGTAATGATATGTGTAAAATGTTTCAGACTCAAGCAGTTCTCCTGTCTGGACCTTCCAAAGTGCTGGGATTTCAGGTGTGAACCACCGTGCTCAGCTAAAAGTTGTCTATCAGGGAAACTTACTATTAGAGACTCAGTGCCCAGGATTTTTCTTGGCAGCATCCTCTGCCTAGCACAGACCAATTTCCTAGACTCGCAGAAGGAAAGCCAGTGTTCAGCAAAACTCACACTGTTTGCACAGTTTAATCAAAGTGAGCCATTTATGTAAGTCCTGGAAATGGTAGCCCTCCTCCAGATCCACATTCCCAGACACCAACCAAGGGTCAACCTTGCAATTAGGTCTTTTTAAGGGCGATGGCCCCGAGCCTTCTATGTTGGCCTTTTCTGTACAATCCCTTAAAATATTGTTAATAATATTTCCTTAAGTAAAATAACAGTATTCGTATTTCCCAAATGTAATAATATTTTTAAGTTCGTTTTGAATCAATGACCAAATAAGATCCATACGTTAGGACTCTTTAATATAGCTAAAGAGTAGTCAAGCCTTTTGAAATGGAGTTTTAACTTGAATTGATCTCTTTTTGCATGCAGTTAAACATTTTGTCCTTATTTTTTTTAACTTCCCACACAACACTGATGTAAACAATTTGTCTTTAACGTATAAATCGTTACCCAACTTTGTCAACTCTATTTTGAACACTGTGCCCTTTGGAAACAAGGTCAGAGTCTCTAACATTACTACTCCTGAAACACTTGCCGTAGCAGTGTTTTTATCTGCAGTGATATTTCTGCCCAAAGCTTTTTTACCCTTGCCTTAAAGTTATTTCTCAAAAATTCAATAGAAAATTCCACTAAGCCAGCTATTTTTCCCCCCCTGCTTAGTGGATAGATGACTGGCCCAGTTCCATAGCTGATAATATGCCTGAAATGAGCAATAACACTACACACCACTAATTAAAAGAAAACACAAATTTTTACTATATAAAAATGATGTCAAGAACATGACCAGTCTCTTACCAGTCACTTGGGATAGTCTTATGATATTAATAGCTTTAAGACTGAGAGCAAATTCTGAGGCACTGTCAGCCTCATAGGCTTTCATCTAAGAAATTTATTTCAGCTTTTATAAATTGTACCAATTATTTTTCTTTATCTTAACATCAGGGCTTTATATTGTAAATTAATAAAAACTTTCATAACATTAGAATAAACACAGTGAAAGCTAGTGGCCTATACAAATACCTCCGTGGAAAAGTTGAAGGTTGGGACTATTTAACCTAAAAAAAGCAGGCCAAGAGGACAGTTTGAGAGAACAAATATGGCTGGGCATAGTGGCTCCCACCTGTAATCCCAGCATTTTGGGAGCCCGAGATGCGTGAACCACCCTGAAGTCAGGAGTTCCAGACCAGCCTGGCCAACATAGCAAAACCCCATCTCTACTAAAAATACAAAAATTAGCTGAGTATGTTGGCACGTGCCTGTCATCCCAGCTACTTGGGAGGCTGAGGCAGGAGAATCGCTTGAACTTGAGGGGCAAAGATTGCAGTGAGCCAAGATCATGCCACTGCACCCCAGCCTGAGTGACAGAGCGAGACTGGGTCTCAAAAACAAACAAACAAAAACCCAAATATTTCTAAAGCATGCACATATGCCTGGCATATTAAGAAATCTATATTTCTTTTTTGGCTGTGGATACATAACCACAGAAGTTCTATCCTAAAACGTTTATTTTATTGAGCAAAAGATTAAGGTTTCAAGAATCTGGACTTACCAAGGCCTTAGAGAGGATTTCAGCAGAGTCAGGACTAAATAAACACAATTCTGAGGGGTTTTGTTGATGCTGTTGTTGTTTATAGACGGTGTTAAAAGAAAAGCTTTAGACAGATTAAATTTAGCAGCATTGGTCTGGGAGCAGTGGATCACACCTGGAATAATTCCAACACTTTGGGAGGTATAGGCCGGTGGATCACTTGAGGGCAGGAGTTGGAGATGAGCCTGGCCAAAACGGTGAAACCTTGTCTCTACTAAAAATACAAAAATTAGCCAGGGATGGTGGCACACCTGTAATCCCAGATACTCAGGAGGCTGAAGTATGAGGATCTCTTGAACCAGGGAGGTAGAGGTTGCAGTGAGCTGTGTTGTGCCACTGCATTCCAACCTTGGAGACAGAGTAAGCCTCTGTCTTAAAAAAAAAAATAGAACGTTTATTTGAGCAAAGAACACTTCATGAATCTGGCAGCACTCAGAATCAGAAGAGGTTCAAAGTTACACCCACCAGTGGGAGATTTTATAGGCCAGATCACAGAAGCAAAGTAGGCAAATCCTCTGATTGGCAGCAGCTAGGTATCTGCATTATTTGGGCATGGTCTGCTCACTTACTTGCCTATGGTTGGCTCATTTAACAAACTCAACCATTTGTTATACTCCTAGGGTTGTTTGGAGTCATTTATATACTATGATAGGTTGCACTTCAACACATGGGGACTCAAGGTATAGAGGGAGCTGCAGGTCGAATTTAACTGATTTAACAACAGAAACACTTTCCTTGACCTGTGCTGAAGACAAAAGCAAGTGAACATAAAATTAGAAGCAATGACTTAAATTTGGTGTAGTAAGTGCTTTGTCTTCTCAGAAATAAAACTCTGAAAGTTGCTTGTAAATTGGGAATGGTGAATTCTAACTCACTGAAAATCTTAGGTGCCCTCTCAGGGATGGTTACTCATTCTGACCCATCAAAATGAGTTATAGGCCAGGCACGGTGGCTCATGCCTATAATCCCTGATCTTTGGAAGGCAGAGACGGGCAGATCAGGAGATCAAGAGTTCAAGACCAGCCTGGCCAACATGGTGAAACCTCATCTCTACCAAATATACAAAAATTAGCCAGGCTTGGTGGCTGGGCCCTGTAATCCCAGCTACTGGGGAGGCTGAGGCAGGAGAATTGCTTGAATCCGGGAGGCGGAGATTGCAGTGAACTGAGATCGCACCACTGCACTCCAACCTGGGCGGCAGAGCAAGATTCCGTCAAGAGAGAGAGAGAGAGAGAGAAGTAGTTATTTATAATCACGTGATTCTGAGGTCCTATTTGTTCTCGTGTCATTCTGATCTAGGAAGGGGCCTTACCCACGACTAACCTACTTGAGTGCTGCTGATGCGGATCTACTCAACCGGACTTGGTCGCGGGGTGGCAATGAGCAATGTCTCCGGTACATCGCCAACCTCATCGCCTGCTTCCCTAGTGTGTGTGTCCGGGATGAGAAGGGAAACCCCATCTCTTGGTCCATCACAGACCAGTTTGCCACCATGTGCCATGGCTACACCCTGCCAGAACATCGCAGGAAAGGTTACAGCCGGCTGGTGGCCATCACGCTGGCTAGGAAGTTGCAAAGCCGGGGATTCCCCTCTCAGGGGAACGTCCTGGATGACAACACAGCATCTATAAGCCTCCTGAAAAGTCTCCATGCTGAGTTCTTGCCTTGCCGCTTTCACAGGCTTATTCTGACCCCTGCTACTCTCTCTGGCCAGCCTCACCTCTAGCCCAGTGAAAAACTGCAGTGGTTTTCTTACTTTCCCTGAGCATACACACTCTTGGCCGCCAATGAGGGGAGAGTTAAAACGGGAATGGGATACTCTTGGGTTGTTGGAAAGTATCTGGCTAATTCACACAGGATCCACTTGAGAAGCCTTAATTCTTTGCATCTCAGGTTTCTCCAGTAAATAGCTGTGGGGCTGAAGAGTAGCTGTGGCTGAAGACAGGATGATTGGCTCCACTGTATGAGAATAGGTTCTAAAGCCAGCAGTTTTAGTGTACTGGGAGAAATTACTGAATGAGAACAAATGATTTAACCAGGACTATGGGGCTACTGCTTTAGCTTTGCTGCTTGCACCTCTGTATTCTGAGAGCCACATCGCTTCCCTACTGCCATCACTTTCCCCTATTCCCACAGCTGTGTCTTACCAACCTCTGTTCCTAACCACCTCTGCTGCCAAGTTCTCTGTAGAGTAACCTGCTTTTTCCCTTTTAATTACTTGCTCTTTACTTCTGCCTGGGACCCTAGCTTATAGTTTGCTCTCCTGGGAATGTTCAAATGCAGTGGTTCTTACGTTTTAGTGTTTATCAGAATCACCTGGAGGGCAGGTTGCAACAGGCATCCCTAGGCCTCTCCTGCTATGAGGTAGGGCCCCCAAATTTGCAATTCTAACAGCTTCCCGCTGCTTCTTTGCCTTGGATGAATGACAATATGGGCATTTTGATGCTATAAACAAATGCTGTAAGCATAGGACTAGACCTTACCTGTAATCTATTTCAGTCCCTTATTTTTATCATCTATTTCCCATATAAAACTAAGATTTATACCTAGGGGTGTGTGGGGTATACAAATGAATATATAACATATATGCATATACATATATATATATACATTCAATTCATGTCTTCTATATGTATATGTATATACTCATAGAATTTTGATAAGATAATAAACTTTAACTCTCTGATTACATATGAAAAATTTGAGGACCAGAGAAAAGAAATAACTTTGTCAAGATTATATTCTTTATAATCCATACTGGAGGCAAAGCCAGAATGCTGTACTTTTAATTCCAATCAGTTCTTTTCACTAAATCATGTATCTTTTTTATAAAGAAACTTATAATGCTTAAATAATTAAAATATTAATTTATTTTTCTTTTATCCTTGTCATTATTTCTTCTTAATTTGGGTTCCAGTTGCTTGTGTATGTGTATCTTTCAAGGACAGCAAAGAAAGAGGTAAGTATCACCAGCTATGTTCTCCATTTACAATAAAAGCAGGCACTACCAAAATTGTTGGATTTGCCTTGTCTTGATAAACTTGACTTAGCTGTATAGAAAATACTGATTTCTGGTACCCAAGGAGGACATAAAATCCTGACTACAAAGATAGGGGAAAATCCAACTTTTAGGTGTTTATTCTGAGAAAAGGAAACAAACTGGCTGAAGTAGAGCACATTTAAATAATAATTTAAAAAAAAGACTCAGTAAGAATGAATATATGCTTAGTTCGAGCCCATGGTTACCTGGAAACTTATCTATTGTTGGATCCAGAGAGGAAAATACTAAGTAACCAGAATCCATAAACCTCTTAGGAGAATATACCCTAAGGATGCTAATTATCTTTAGCATTGAGCTTGATATACGGCAATGTTATTATAGCCTTGTCTTTTTCCTAATGATAATTTCCCTAACATTTGACATTTAACTGTGTGCTAATAATTGCACCAAATATAAGAAGTGTATAACTTAATCCTTGTGAGGGATAAGTTATTACCTTTTGTGGAAATTCTGACTTAGAGGCGTTATGAGCCACCAAAGTTATGCAGACTCTAGGTGGCCAAATCATGATCAAAACATGGGTGTGTTGGATTACAAAGCCTGTACTACTAGTCATTAAGCTAATTGGCCTCTCAAGCAGCTTGGAACACTTTGTAAATAATTATTCCCTTATCTCATTACTTTCTGAATTTTCTGCCTTCGCCTCCACCACAAAAACAGACCCATATTTGAAAATTTTTTTTGTTTCTACCAACTTACTCTTATACTATTTACTTACTTTCATCTTTTAGCTAACCATGTTGGATATAATTTCTCAACTTTTAATACTGTTTCTGACCCATTTAAGGCATGTGCAGAGAAATGTCTGGAATGAGTAGAGGACAAGGAGAAGAGAAAGACTGAAGAAGTAGAAACAAGGCCGGGCATGGTGGCTCACATCTGTAATTCCAGCACTTTGAGAGGTCAAGGCAGATGGATCACTTGAGGCCAGGAGTTAGAGACCATCCGGCCAACATGACAAAACCCCATCTCTATTAAAAATACAAAAATTAGCTGGGCATGGTGGTACACACCTGCAAGCCCAGCTGCTTGGGCAGCTGAGGCATGAGAATCTCTTGAATCCAGGAGGTAGAGGTTGCAGTGAGCCGAGATGGCACCACTGCCCTCCCGCCTGGGCAGCAGACCCAGACTGTGTCTTTAAAAAAAGAAGTAGGAAGAGGCTTGATCAACATAGGTTTTACTTGTTGATTTAAGAAAATTCTTCTATGTAATATAAAAATCAATAAAAAGCTTTAAGCAGATCATTAATCTGTTTGGAAACTAGTCGAGAGGCTATAGTCTAAGCAAAATGTGATGGTAACTTGGATTTGAATGCTAGCAATGATAATGGTGAAAAGTGAAGTTACTTAAACTATTTAGAAGGAAAAGTTGTTGGAACTTAATAATTTAGTGGCTGTAGGCTATGGCAAGAGGGAAATGTCAAGGTTGACTACTGGACTTCCATGTTGTAAAAGTCACAGCTGGTGGTACTTTTCAGTGAGATCAGAAATCCTGGAACAATCCCAGATCTGGAGCAATTTGTAGCAGGGAAAATAGTTTGTTCAGTTTGGAGATGTTGAGTTCTGAAACATGCAAGTGATGGGATCAAGTTGGATATTTGAGTCTAATGCTCAGAGAAATTATTTGGGATAGAGATATAGATTTAGAAGTATACAGATAATAACAGAAGCCATGAGTTTAGCTGAGGTTGTCTAGGATGGAACCTTAAATGCATCAACTATTTAAAGCAAGGGAAAGGAAATGCTCTGGAATAGGAGAAGGAGCAGCCAGAAGACAGGAAGGAAGCCAGGAGATAACTGTCGTGGAAGAGAAAGAAGAAAAAGTTTTAAATGGAGGGATGGTCAATGGTGTCGAATTATGCTGAGAGGTCAAGAATACATTAGGAATGAAACATCTTCATTGCACTATTAAAATCAGGCAAAATGAATGTCTATCTGTAGAAGTCAGGAAGTAATTACCCTTTAGAAGGATCGTAAGTAAAATTGGACATGAAATGCCTTCAGGATTTCCAGTAATGTTCTGATTCTTGACTTGGGTGGGTTACAAAGGTGTGTTCACTTTGTAATACTTTGTTACATAGGTGTGTTCCACTTTGTAACACAAGTGTATTCCCTCTAGCCGTGATTTAACCAGGCCCTTCTCTGCTGGGCTCAGTCTTTCCATAGGCAAATCTGCATGGCTACTCACCTCCTCCTCCCCTGTGAGTCAGGGCCTGGAGCATATGATTATCTAACTATGCAATTATGATATATCTACTTTTCTGTATGCATGTTATACTACAATAAGGAATATTCATTAATAGAAAACAGGCCTGATATCTGGAAAATAATGCACATTTTCATGACATAGAAGTTCCATTTTTAAAAATTTGTCATACTGGTATAATAGAAAAATATGCAAAGATTTGTATAAAACGATGTTTATTACAGTGTTGTGTGTAAAGCCAAAAAAAAAAAAAAAAAACCCTAAATATTTTAAGTAACTCACTGATTAAATATAGTACAACCATTCAATGAAATTCTTTTTTTTTAATTAAAGTTTTTAATTTTTAATTTTTGTCATTCAGTGAAATCCTGTGTAATACTAGAAAACTAGGTTTGGTGACACAGAAAAGATGTACATAATAACACTAAATGCAAAAACAATTACAGAAAATATATGTAATCCACTTGAAAGTCAACTGTGAAGGTAAAGAGAGAGTAAGTATGTAGGTAAATAGTTTTGAAGGCAGTTTAATGGGTTTTACTAAAGGTAAAAGTTGATAAATGGTGGCATGTATTTTATGGTGTGGCCATGGCTAGATATAATAATAAAAGGACTCAGTACAGGCAACATGCTCAGCTTTCCTGAAATGTGTGCTTGTCTGTTTTGGATGAATCTTGACTAGGCTTTGTAAGCATCTGTATATTTTAGCAAGAATGAGTATTTTGTCTACCTAAGATCCACTGAGGACATAGAGGGGAATAACTGAGAATTCAATCTGCTCACACTTTGGAAGCAAGATAGGTAAGTGAAGTTGTGGGGAACATTTATACAGCCTCTAAAATAGAATCTCATTTAACAATACAAGATTTGATTAAGTTTGCATTGTTTTAGTCACTAAGTTTTGTTCAATGATTTGAATTTTCATAAAGAACATGAGATAAATATATATTATATTTTCTTAAGCTGTCTTTGATACACCTCAAACTTTGTATCCCTTTTTCTAGCCTCAGTAAATACTAAGGGCAAGGAAAAAATGACAATGAAAGTAAAAGGTAGCAGATCGAGTAACAAAACATGGAGTACAAATATTATTTCTTCCTTCTTGCCTGAAATCATTGCATTAAAATTATTTATTATAATGAGGAAAATGAAGACAGTAGAGACACAAAAATATGGAATTTTTTTTTCTACATCAATTTGGCTAGTTAACATTTCCTAAGCTTCTAATAGCCCAAGATTCTCAATCTAAACTCCAACAATAAAACCTAATTGTTAATTAACACTTTGCTTTTTCTGATCTTGGCCCTGAAGGATGGAATCAAAGAAGGAAGAGTCACTTCTAGTGTCTCCTTTTATCCTAACCTCCCACCTCAGCAGTGCTAGTGTCATGTATGTTCCCAGCACTGTTCCAATTTTGTTCACTACTTGAGGAAACTTTTTTCCTTGAGACAACTTTTGTTCACTTCTTAATTTTGATCTTATGATTTTAAAAATTACAAAACGTGCCAGGCATGGTGGCTCACAGCTGCAGTCCCAACACTTTGGGAGGGCAAAGTGGGTGTATCACCTGAAGTCAGGAGTTTGAGACCAGCCTCACTAACATAGAGAAACCCCATCTCTACTAAAAATGCAAAAAATTAGCTGGGTGTAGTGGCTCATGCATGTTATCCCAGCTACTAAGGAGGCTGAGGCAGAACTGCTTGAACACAGGAGGCGGAGGTTGCGGTGAGCAGAGATCATGCCATTGCACTCCAGCCTGGGCAACAAGAGTGAAACTGTCTCAAAAAAAAAAAAAAAAAATTACTAAATGCATAGCTAATGTCTGAATTTTCCTCTTACTAATTTATTTGCAATTTTCCTTTTCACCAACAGATGTATGTGATTTCGAGGCAAAATATGTTTTAGATTTTAAACACTGTTACAAGACATTCCTTATGACAGGACTATGAGATGTTCACTTAATCCTGTGCAGTTATTGCAGTGAACACTAGATGTCAGATTTCAGTTCTAGATTATTTCCCAGCAGAGGGAGCACTTGAATTGTTTCAAAACGTTTCTTTAGAATTTTTGCCTCATTCTTTCAGCAGATTGCTATAAGCTTAACTACCACATCAAAGGATATGAACATTTTAAAATCTCAACATATAATGTGTAACATTTGTTTCAAATGATTGTGCCAACCTATCCCATTTGATCTCACTGTCCCAGAGTTGAGTTGTTTTCTTTTTTGTTTTGAGACCGAGTCTCGCTCTGTCGCCAGGCTAGAGAGCAGTGAGGCATCTCGGTTCACTGCAACCTCTGCCTCCTGGGTTCAAGCGATTCTCTTGCCTCAGGCTCCTGAGTAGCTGGGACTATTGGAGCCCACCACCATACCCAGCTAATTTTATTTTTTTTAGTAGAGACTGGACTTCACCATATTGACCAGGAGGGTCTCAATCTCCTGACCTCGTGATCTGCCCACCTCAGCCTCCCAAAGTGCTGGCACCTGGCAATCTCATGGTTTTAAAAACAGGAGTTTCTCTGCACAAGCTCTCTCTTTGCTTGCTGCCATCCATGTAAGGCATGACTT